AGGATCCCCGAATCTACAGCTCTTGCTCAGACTTGCCTTTTTTTTCTAAGTGTTTATTTTCAGAGAGAGAGAGAGAGAGAGAGCGAGCACGCGCGCGATCGCGCCTGCCCACACATACATGAGTGTGGGAGGGGCAGAGAAGTGGGAGAGAATCCGAAGCAGGCTCCATGCTGTCAGTGCAGAGCCTGTCTCTGGGCTCAAGGATCCCTGAGATCATGACCTGTGCTGAAATCAACACTTGGATGCTTCACTGACCCAGCCACCTAGGTGCCCCATGCTCAGACTTGTTTTCTGAACCCTTAGGCTGAATTTCTGTGGCTGAGTTTCTCTTGTGGGTATTTTGACAGAAATGGGGTGGGTGTACTGTGCACCGCCTGTTTAAGGAGAGTCCTGTTAAGTCTCTCCTGCCTTGGTGATCCGGGCTGGAAATCCCATCATTTCTGCTCCCTTTATTTGTCCCCTTTTTACTTCCTGGTCCCTGCCACCACCACATCCCAGATTTAGGCCTGTTCATCTAGGTGGTCTTCAAAGGGGGGAAGTGCAACAAGATTATTGGGGTGCAGAAATAAAATGATGGAACTTTATTTTTTTAATTTTATTTTTTTATTAAAAGTTTTTTCAACATTTATTTACCTTAGAGACAGTGCGAGCCGGGGAGGGGTAGAGGGAAAGAGGGAGACACAGAATCAGAAGCAGGCTCCAGGCTCTGAGCTGTCAGCACAGAACCCGACTTGGGGCTCAAACTCCCGAACTGTGAAATCATGACCTGAGCTGAAGTTGGCGCTTAACTGACTGAACCCCCCCCAGCGCCCCTCAGTAAATATGTATTGAATGAATGGGTCAATGGACGCTGAAACTTGTTTAAATTTATGTTGGGAAGAGCAGACTCTCTTCTCCCTGGACCCGGCCTGCTCAGAATTTGGTTTTTCTTGGCATTCCAACTGTGGGTTCGGTGCAGTGGCACGTGGAGCCTGTGGGCCCAGCGTGACTTCTCCGAAGTGGCCCTGCAGCGCCGCCACTTCTTCCTAGTGCTCCTAACGGGTTGGTCTTTGTCACAGTTGCAGAGTAGCCCTCTTCCAGGCCTTGTTGTCTTGCTTAATGGGTTTTGCTAACTCCATGGTTCCTAAAGGCAGGATGACCAAGTTTTTAAAAGTTTTTATTTTAATCACCCAGTGCTCGTTATGGTGCCCTCCGTAGTCCTGATCCCCTAGTCCCCCCTATCCCTCCACCTACCTTCCCTCTGGTAACCATCAGTTTGTTCTCTATAGTTAAGAGTCTATTTCTTGGTTTCTTTCTTATTTCCCTTTGCTTGTTTGTTTTGTTTCTTAAATTCTACATGTGAGTGAAATCATATGGTATTTGTCTTTCTTCTACTGACTTATGTCACTTAGCATTATATTCTCTAGCTGCATCCGTTGTTGCAAATGGCACAGTTTAATTCTTCTTCCTTTATTTAAAGGTTTATTTATTTTGATAGACTGTGAGTGGGGGAGGGACAGAGAGGGAGAGAGAGAGAATCTCAAGCAGGTCCCATGCTGTCAGTGCAGGCTTGAACCCATGAAGCTGTGAGATGATGACCTGGGCCAAAACCAAGAGTCAGACACTTAATTGACAGAGCCATCCAGGCACCCCAAGATTTCATTCTTTTTTATGGCTGAATAATACTCCGTTGTATATATATACCACTTCTTTATCCATTCACCAATAAATGGACACTTGGGCTGATTTGATAATTTGACTATTATAAGTAATGCTACTATAAACAGGGGGTGCATGTATCCCTTTGAGTTAGTATTTTATATTCTTTGGGTAAATACCTAGTAATGGATTGTAGGATAAGTTACATTTTTTACTTTTTGAGGAACCTCTGCACTGTTTTCCAGAGGAGCTGCACCAGTTTGCATTCCCACCAACAGTGCACTAGGACTTCTTTTACTCCATATCCTCGCCAACACCTGTTCCTTGTGTTGTTGAGTTTAGCCTTCTGACAGGTGTGAAGTGATCTCTCATTATAGTGTTGATTTGCATTTTCATGATGATGAGGAGTGGTGATGAGCACCTTTTCATGTGTCTTTTGGCCATTTGGGTGTTTCTGGAAAAATGTCTGCTCATGTCTTTTGCCCTTTTATTTTTTTATTTTAGAGAGAGAACACGTGGATGCAAGTGGGGGAGAGGTTTAGAGGGACAGAGGGAGAGAATCTCAAGCAGGTTCCACACTAAGCACGGAGCCCAACATAGAGCCCAGTTGTGGGGCTCAATCCCCTGACCCTGGAATCATGACTTGAGCTGAAATCAAGAGTTGGGGATGTTCAGTCGACTGAGCCACCTTGGTGTCCCTGCCCATTTTTAATTGGATTATTTGCTTTTTGAGTGTTGAATTGTATAAGTTCTTTATATATTTTGGATACTAACCCTTAATCAGGTATGTCATTTGCAAATATTTTCCCCCATTCTGCAGGTTGCCTTTTAGTTTTGTTGATTTTTTTTTCTTTGCTTGTTCAAAAGCTTTTTATTTTGATGTAGTCCCAAAATGTACTTTTGCTTTTGTTTCCCTTGCCTCAGGAGACCTCTAGGAAAAAGTTGCTATGGCCAGTGTCAGAGAAATTACTTTCTGTTCTACACTCCAGGATTTTTATGGTTTCAGGTCTCATTTAGATTTTTAGTCCACCTCAAAGTTACTTTTGTGTTTAGTGTGAGAAGGTGGTCCAGTTTCATTCTTCTACATGTTGCTGTCCAGTTTTCCTACTATGCATTTGTGGTTTTATTTCTGGATTTTCCGTTCCATTGATGTATGTGTCTATTTTTGTGCTACTATCATACTGTTTTGATTACTGCGGCTTTACAGTGTAACTTGAAATCCAGAATTGTGATGCTTTCGGCTTTTTTTTTTTTTATATTAATGTTTATTCATTTTGAGAGTGAGCATGGGAACATGCAGAGCTCAGCACGGGGCTTGATTCCACAAACTGTGAGATCATGACCTGAGCCAAAACCAAGAGCAGGAAACTCAACCAACTGAACCACCCAGACACCTTTGATTTTTAATTTTTTTTTAAAGTTTATTTATTTTTGAGAAAGTGGGTGTGCGTGTGTGAGGAAGGGCAGAGAGAAAGAGGGAGGCAGGATCTGAATTCAGCACGCTCCTCGCTGATAGCAGAGAGCCTGATGTGGGGCTCAAACTCAACTAATCTTGAGATCATGACCTAAGCCGAAGTCAGGCATTTAACCCACTGAGCCACCCAGGCGCTCCCCTGCTTTTGTTTTTCAAGATTGCTTTGGCTCTTTGATGTTTTTTGTGGGTTCATACAGATTTTAGGGTTGTTCTAGTTCTAAGAAATATACTGTTGGTAATTTGATAGGAATTGCATTAAACGTGTAGATTCCTTTGGGTAGTATAAACATTTTAACAATATTTGTTCTTCCAGTCCGTGACCATGGTACGTCTTCATTTCTTTCATTATTGTTTTCTAGTTTCTAGAATACAGTGTTTGATCTCTTTGTTTAGGTTTATTCCTGGACATCTTATTATTTTTGGTGGAATTGTAAATGGGATTGTTTTCTTAATTTCTCTTTTTATTACTTCATTATTGTTGTATAGAAGTGCAAGATTTCTGTAGATTGATGTATCCTGTGACCTTACTGAATTTGTTTATTCTAGCAGTTTTTCGGGGGAGTCCTGGGTTTTCTTTTTTTTTTTTTTTTTTAAATGTTTTATTTATTTCTAGAAGAGAGAGAGAGAGAGAGAGAGAGACAGCGTGAGCAGGGGAGGGTCAGAGAGAGAGGGAGTCACAGACTGAAACAGGCTCCAGGCTCTGAGCTGGCAGTCAGCACAGAGCCTGACGCGGGGCTCGAACCCACGAACCGCGAGATCATGACCTAAGCGAAAGTCGGACGCTTAACCGACTAAGCCACCCAGGCGCCCCAGTCCTGGGTTTTCTATATAGAGAATCATGTTATCTGAAAATAGTCAGAGTTTAACTTCTTACTGATTTGGATGCCTTTTATTCCTTTTTCTTGTCTGATTGCTGTGGCTAGGACTTCGGTTCTATGTTGAATGAAGTGGTGAGAGTGGACACCCTTGCCTTGTTCCTGATCTTAGGGGAAAGGCTCTCAGTTTTTCCCCATTGAGTATGATCTTTGCTGTGGGTTTTTCCACATATGGCCATTATTATGTTGAAGTATGTTCCCTACAAACTTACTTTGTTGGGGGTTTTTATCATGCATGCTTGTCATACTTTGTCAAATGCTTTATCTGAGAGGATGACAAGTTTCAGATACACTGACCAGAAAGCATTTTCACGTGGTATTATTACTGCAACAGTCTTGCACATCTTAAACCTAATTGCATTTGATCTGATACTGTGTAAACACAGTATTAATTCTGTCAACTTTTGCAGCTACGCTAGAGTTTTAGAGGCTCACTCTGTCCTGTCTGATGAGGAAACTAACTGAGGAATGAATAGTGCCAGCCAGAGCTGAGGGCCTGACAGTGCATAGGGAGAAGCTGGCCTCTTTTACCTTACCGGGTCAGCTGCTCATCAGCCCTTTGATGTCCTCTAGCTTTCAGGTCTGATGGCCCAGCTGCCTGGCTCTTTGTAACAGGTGCTGCTGGCACTCCGGTCCAAGAAGAGGGGCACCTCGTGTCTCTGGGGCTCTCAGAGACACAGCCTCATGACAGTGAGCTTAAGAGAGGGGCGTGGTTCTCTTGTAGAGTGTGTTTATTTTTGGTACATTTGTTTCAGGCATGCTTCTGAGAACAGGACCTACACTTGTTAGGTACATTTTTTTTTTGCTCCGAAATGTTTACATAGTCCTAGTTTAGATTGGTTTGCATGGTACTGTCATTTTGGCGTTTCCTACGACAGATGTTTTCTGGGTTTGGTTTTATATTTGTGGCTCTGTGCCTGTCTTTTCCCTTGGTTTTTCATTGTAAGACTAACTTCTGCTGTGCCCCTAAGTGGAGTCAAGACCAATTTGATTTCCTCTTCTGGTTTGCCCAGGCGGCTGATGAATACATGTTTTCCCTGGAGGAGAATAAGAAGTCCAAGGGTCGTCGTCAGCCCTTAAGCAAGCTCCCACGCCATCACCCGCTGGTGTTGCAGGATTGCATCAGTGATGATGGTAAGTGTTTACTCTCTTTACCAGGAAGGGGAAGGGAGCTCCCCCCGTTAGCATTTTGACAGGACATGGGAGGCGGGGCTGAGCACCAGGGGTGGGTCTGTGGCTTAGCTATTCTCCCAGATACTCCACACAGAGGGGGCAGGATCTCCTTTGATGCTTAATTTATGATCAGATTTCTCTATATATGTGTCTTGGAATATGCCTAATACACGGTGATCGCATGCAGGTTCTTCTCTTTCTTTACTAGGAGGTAAAGTAAGGAGGCTGATTTTTCTGGATAGCAATTCTGTCAATGATGCCAAGCCCAGTGCTGAATGTGTAGCTACAAAGATAACTCAGATATGTCCGTGCCCTCAGAAAGCTCAGAAGGTAGTGGGGCAAACTGACAGGTAAACAGATCTAAAGAGACAAGATGTTCATCTAGGCAGAGGGGAGCTGGAGGATAGATTCAGAGGAAGCAACTCAGTGAAAGGGCCGGGCCAAGGTGTGGGGCGGGTAGACGTGAGGAGGGGGGTTGCTCAAGAGGGAGGCCTTTTTCTGTTGGGTCTTCAGGAGCCTTTGACATGGTTTGGTGGCCAGATTTATGTTAGATGCATTACTCCTAGTGCCTGCATTTGAGAGTGGCTTTGAGGGCAACAGACGGGCTTTTGCCATGGCCTCTGAGAGCTGGGGGAGGGTCTGAAGCAGGGGATAGTGGTAGGGCTTGGGGAGGGATGTAGGGAAGGTGTTGGGAGGATACAGTCGGCTGCATTTGGGGGTTGGATGTAGAACTGTGAGCTTGGTAGGGACTTGGAGAAGCCTGAGTTCAGTGCCTCCCTGACTTCTGCTTTTTGTTGGGTTTGGTTGTTCAGTATCTGGAGGCTGTAAACTTGCGGTGAGCAGAGGTGGTGTTTGGTGGTGATATTGGGGTACATGAGGCCACTGGTGGGGGAGACACAGAGAGAGGTGAGCACAGGTGGTATTTAATACCTTTTTAAAAAATTTATTGAAGTGGCTCACTCAGTTGAGTGTCTGACTTCGGCTCAGGTCATGATCTCACGGTTCATGGGTTTGAGCCCCGCATCGGGCTCTGTGCTGACAGCTAGCTCAGAGCCTGGAGCCTGCTCCAGATTCTGTGTCTCCCTCTCTCTCTGACCCTCCCCTGCTCATGCGCTCTCTCTCTCTCTCAGAAATAAATAAAAAAAACATTAAAAAATAAAACCCACGAAAAATTAATAAACATTAAAAAAAATGTATTGAAATTTTTTTTCATTGAAGGGTACCTGACACGCTGTTACATTACTTCCAGGTGGACAACATAGTGATTCGGCAACTCTGCCTTTCCCTGTGTTCCCCACAAGTGTAGCTGCCATCTGTTTGCTACACTGAGTCTACATGTGTGAGGCCTCTGATGAGGGCAGAGACGGGGGTGGGAAGACAGGAAGAGGAGTCTGGGAAGGAGACGGAAGAATAGACAGGGATGTGGAGCAGGACGGGAACTGTGTGTGTTGCTGGCGCTCAGGGACTTGTTGCCATCAGTGCAGTGAGATCAGGAACATGATCGCGGGTGAGTCTCTGGCGGGTCCCTTGTCACTCTTGACTGATGCCCGGGCCCTTCCCTGCCCTGTCCTTCCTGACACCGGTGGCTGGGTGGGAAGATCTGGAGTTATACCAGCCCCTCTGCTCCGTAAGCAAGCCCATGTTCCCTTTCTGATCTGATGCCAGTGCCCATCTCTACTGTTGTCCTTGGTAGAAGGATCGAGATATGCTGGGTGAGGAAAGTCTCTTGAGATTGAAAGTCTCTTGTGTCCAAAGTAGGCCAGACCTTGAGTCAGAGTCTTAGGAAGTCCTCTTCCTCTGGCCCAGGTGGGGCTTGGGTTCTCGGAGTAGCAACAGCCTGGCTTCAGGATTCCTGCCCCACCCCCCCTTACTCTCCAGGCCTCTGAAGGCTCTAAATATAGATTGTAGAAAATTGGAAAAGGAAAGTTATAAATAGGACAATAAAAGTGTCCTGCAAAGGTAACCACTTGCATGTTTTAATGTGTTAATCTTCCTGACTTTTCTAGTCAGATGTTGGAGTATATCCATGTATGCCTTTTTATAATAATGTAATTGAGATCATACTATACAGGCTGCCCAACTTTTTATGATAAATTTCAAACGTGGAAAACACTGCACGCCTCCTGTATTCGACAGATGCTACCACGTTGCTGGGGGTGCGCTCTCCACACGCGCTGTTGATGAACTTGCTGCACTGGCACTTGTGGTCTCGTCTGAGGGCGAGTTGCAGTCCTCTAGTCACTTGAAGTGCACCACGAGGTGCCTTCCTAAGGCTTCTGTCCTGTGCAGACACTGACCACACCTGGGGAAATCGGCACTATTGCATAATATTGTCCCATCTTCAGTCCATATTCATTTTTCCCCACTTGTTCCCAAAATGTGTTTCTAGCTTTTAGTTCTTTAAACCTATAAACCAAACCGGGATCACTCATTTCAAAGATTTGTATCTTTAGTCTCTTTTAGTCTAGCATGCACCCCCCGCCCCCATTAAATTTTTTTTCAATTGAGGCATAAAATAGTGAAATGAACACATCTGTACGTCTCCATGAAGTCTTATGTATGTAAACTGTAAAATTCCTGCTATTTTCACTGTGTTCATAAGTGAAGTGATTTTTGGCCCCCTGTGGTTTTGAAAACAGCAGACATCACTATGTTAATTTTCCTATACTGATTGGGTAGCTGTTTCTGTTTCTTCTAGTCCATCTTGACCACTCTTGATCTGGTTAGGATAAGGAAAATACCTGCTTTGGCTTGGCACCATCGTTCCTGCCAGGATCTGGCCATGCCTGGAGGAGTTGGTTTTAATTGTCTGCAGTGGCCTCCGTACGTTACGGTACACTTCACCGAGGTCACACATGAGGCTGCTTCCGGGTCTCATTAGATTAAACATGACTGTGAAGGCAGAGTAGATAACTGTTTATCTGCACTGAGCCAGAGTTGCCAGAAATGAACAAGTAAATAGTGGAGTGTCGCATGGGCTTCTCTGCAGAAGTCTCTAGGGCCACTTCAGAACAGCTCTGCTCTGATGAAGCAAGATCATCTGAGGGGTTGTAGCTGGGGATTCCTGATGGCCACACATAGCTAGATGCCAGGCATGGGGTGTCCCATGTGGCAGGGCTGGCACGGAGCTGGTCTGTCAGGTGCTCCGCATCCATCCTTGGGCCGTTTTAGGACTCCCTTGTTAAAGAACATCCCTTGTTAAAGTTAAATATAACTTCTTATATTTCCCTCACTTGGGAGGATTTCAAGAAAGGATCTGGATCTGTTCATTTTGTTATTTTTTGCTCCTTCTATCAAAGATTGCCCTCATTCACTCATAATCCTAGAGGTAAGGTGTTTTCCTACCTCCTCGACCTTGTTTCCATTGGGATTGATTGGGCTGTGCCCTTCCACCGATTTAGGGGGAACTGGAAGGTGTGCACCTTTATCGCTTCCATCTTGTTTTGTGAGCCTAGGTTTTTGTTTCCATTCAGCAGCATTGTCCCTTCCAGGAAGGTGGCACCCAGAGGGGATTTTCCTTCATCTGCAGTGCTGGTGAATCCTATGCTTTGCTATTTGGAGTAACGAATAGATACAAATTTGTCATCTAGACCAGAGGTCTGCAGAGGCCCTACACCTTCTGTCACATATTCTGCTTTCTTTCCCTCAGTCCTTTGAAAATGTAAAAACATGGGCACCTGGGTGGCTCATTTAATGGTTAAGCGTCCGACTTTGGCTTGGGTCATGATCTTGAGGTTTGTGAGTTCAAGCCCTACATTGGCTTCCTGCCATCAGCACAGAGCCCGCTTCAGATCCTCTGTCCCCTCGTCTCCACCCCTCCCCTGCTCGTTCTGTCTCTCTCAAAATGAATAAAGTAAAAAAAAAGTAAAAACAATTTTTTTGTTTTTACATTTTTAAGAGCTCCCCAAGTGGAGTGCATTTGGCCTGTGGGCCACTGTGCGTTAGGCCTTGGTCTAGACTCAAGGTGTTATATCTTTTGGCTGGGAAAGAGGGTTTGTCTTGGACACACTCTGCCTTCCTCTGAGGCAGAGCCAGGATGGTTGGGATCCCTGTCCAGAAAAGGCAGATATCCCACTGACCTTTCCAGAGGGACCTGGAAAGTTCTGACCAAGGCACATGATGTAAAAATTATTAAGCTCTTGCTGTTTCCTTGTTATTTTTTTTTTTTTCTTGTTTCCCTTCAGTGTAACTAAAGAGAAAACTCTTTAAGGACTCAACATGCTGACATATTGGAGGCAGCAAGTAATGTGGCTACTGGCAAGACCCCAGTGTACTGTGCTGCCCTCGGGCACAAGGGTTGAATGCTGGCAGTTGTTAGGGGAGAGGAGAGCAGGCTGAACTCCTGGCGCAAGAAGTTTTGCCAGAGAGGGGGCTACAGACAGGACTGTGCAAATTCATCCAAGTATTGAAAGAGCCTATTGACCATCGTTTCTGCCCTTTGCCTCTGTGACCTGTAGGATCTTGGGTGTAGGCCAGACCTGAGACTGAAAGTCTGGGCTGAGCTCATCCGCTTTCTAGGCAGAGCTACAGATGTACAGGGCTGGTGCTGAATCACGTTCTGCTTTCCGCTCTAGAGTCCTCTGAACAGCTGACCCCCGAGGAGGAGGCTGAGGAGACAGAGGCCTGGGCCAAGCCCCTGAGCCAACTGTGGCAGAACCGACCCTTGAACTTTGAGGCCGAAAAGGAATTCAATGAGACCATGGCCCAGCAGGCCCCTCACTGCGCTGTCTGTATGATCTTTCAGACCTACCATCAGGTAAGTCCACTTTGTCCTTTCTGTTTACCTGGGACCAGCAGTCCAGAGGGAGGCGAGGTTTAATTGTGGGGACGTAGCTTGTCACTGGTTGTCTTGGGAAAGAAAAGTGCGTTCTTCTAGTGTCCGGTGCCCCATTGGAGTGCTGGCCAGCCTTCTCCAGGCAGATAATCTAGCAATATGGCTTTTCCCTTGAGAGCAGTTTGCAGAAGGGCTGGAGTGTGGCTTAGCCTTGACTTAGTAGGATTCCCTGCACAATGTGACACTCAACATTGTTTACAGAGGAATCTTGCTCATCTGTTACTATTCTAGGCCATGATGATTCCTTCCAGGTGGTTTTTCATCCTGGCCAGTCTGGAGCACTGTGCCTGCGTTTTTGGACAGTCTGCCAGATTCTCCGGTGTTGTGTCTTCCTTTCTCATTGCCACTGTGGGTACTGGCAGCAGTCAGAAGGCACTAGGGGAGGGTCTTTGGGAGGTAGATGAGAGGGAAGCACTGGAGCCAAGCTTGTCTGTGCCCCTCCCGCTCCTTGGGCATTTGATGGCAGTCTTTGGGTTCAGCTCTGGGTGGGCAGAAGTGCATCTGCACTGGTGTGCGCCAGGTGAGCAGCTCAGGCTCACCTGGGATCTGCACAGGGTGGCATGTGGCTAACCAGTCCTCTGTTGGTTAAGGTGGCATGGCTACACTGAGCCTGGTATGGCCACAGATTCACGCTTGCCAGAGAATGGAACCTCAGACCAACGTACTTTGGATTAGTCACTCGGTGCTTCTTTCCATTGACTGATGAAAAAGCAAAACTGAAGAACTGTATGTACCCTTGGCCTGTGAGACAAGTGGACAGACTGGGTGCGCTCTCGGGTCCACTGAGTGGGCCTCTGGATTTCAGGAGGGCCACATGCTTAGTGGTGACATGTTTTGGGCCCTGTCCTCGAAATGGTGGTGATGGTGCCATCCATAGATAAGAGCCAGCAAGTGTTTACAGTCAGGGTATTTGCCAAGGAAGTATGTGGATGTTCTTTCTGGACATTCTCTCTGGAGGGACCTGAGCCAGGAATCACAGGTGGGCCTCCAGCCATGTGGCGGTGCTGCTGCTCAGATGACATGCTGCCATGAGTCCCCCTAGGGGGGATTCCATGCTGGTCCATTGGGAGCAGCTGCTCTAGGTCCTCTCCCTGGGTAGCGGCCACCGTGCGGTGCAGCGCATGAGGGAGCCCACAAGAGCAGCCTCGCTAACGTCTCAGTGCATTTTATTACTGCTTGGTTTGGGAAGATTGAAATCCCAGTTGTCTGTTACCTTGCTCCCTTTCCTCAGTTGTCCCCAGGGGCCTTTGTTTGATGCCTCTGTGAGAAATTGAATTGGAGTCATTAGAGGTAACTTCATTTAGCAGCTCTGGGATAATGGCTGTGCACCCGGGAGCCTTAGCCCGAGTCCTTCTGGGAAGAGAGGCAGCTTTCTGCTGACGGAGCAGGTGGAAGCTGAGAAACAGGCACATGGTCACAGAATCATGCATTTGCTCTCTCTCCTTAGGTGGAGTTTGGGGGCCTGAGTCAGAGCTGTGGAAATACTCCAGATTTAGCCCCCCAGAAGCAGAGGACCAAGCCATTGATTCCTGAAATGTGTTTCACCTCGACTGGCTGCAGCACGGACATCAACCTTTCTACCCCTTACCTTGAGGAGGACGGCACCAGCCTTCTGGTTTCCTGCAAGAAGTGCAGTGTCCGGGTCCACGCCAGTGAGTGCCCTTGCCTTTTGTCTGTGTCCTGACCTGGCGGTGCCTGAGCCTTCTCACTGCAAGTCTTGCCCCATGTTGGCCTCCCCCCAGCCTCCCAGTGGCCTCCCCAGGTCCCGAGGGCAAAGATTGCTTTTGTGTTTTTGGGGAGTTTGCCACTCATGGAGTTGGGAGTTTCACTGACTTTGGGGTCCATGCTTGTACAGTCAGCCTTGTGCTGTGGTCTGGGCTGTAGAAGGGAATGGTCCCTGCTGCTCCCTAGGTGTTTATACCAGTGCATCTATAGTCTCTTATTTCTTGAGATTTTGGGCCATACTGTATGGGTGAACCCTGGGGATCCTGACTCTAGAAGTCAGGGGTCTTTCTCTAAGATTTGGTCGCAGCTTTGAGACTCATGGTATATGAGGAAGAGTCACAAGTCTACATTCTGACTCTAGCCTCTGGTTTTAATTTCCTCACCTTGGTGTCCTTGGTAGGTTGCTATGGAGTACCCCCTGCAAAGGCTTCTGAAGACTGGATGTGTTCTCGGTGTTCCGCCAATGCCCTGGAGGAGGTGAGTGTGTCCACAGCGCTGCTGTCTTCCCCACCCCGGGACTTAGGATTTGCTCAGAGCCAGGCTTTTTCATGTGGACTTTCTGTCCCCAGCAGTCTGGACAGGGCCTGGTACACAGTGATGTCAGAGTGCGTCTTGTCAGAATAAATCCCCCCAGGACCGTGGCTGCTGCCCGGCTGTGGCAGGGCCTAAATGGAGTCTGGAATCTGCATTTGCTACATTGTGTCCAGACCAAGTAGAGGTCCTCTGGTGGACAAGCTTTAAAGAGTGCACTGGGTTGGGCCATCCAAAGGGGGCTCAGATGGTTCATTTTGCAGCTTAGTCTTCATCACTCCCTGCCCCGGAACCTAGCAGTACCCATGTAGGAGGCAGAGTCCTGTAGCGCCTCTAGGTTGAGCAGGATGTCATTAGTTACAGTTGTTAGCAGTCACAGTGAAAAGGATTATGTTAAGTCAAGCGACTACTTGGTGTACTTTAGCCCCGGGTGGTCTCCCTGTCTTCCTGTAGGGGAGTCCTGCTTACATGGGCTGCGTAGGCGAGGCCCCACCTGCTGTTAAGCCACTTTCTTATGTGGAGGTTCCAGTTACCCAAAGGAGGCCAAGGAGAGAGCAGATTGGATGTTAATGACTTGGTGGTAATCATCCTTCCTTCCTCCCCCTCCCTTCTTGGCAGGACTGCTGTTTGTGCTCATTACGAGGGGGAGCCCTCCAGAGAGCCAATGATGACAGGTGAGTTTCTGAGCAGTGGCTCGGGATGCTCGGTTCTGGGGCAGAGGCACCGGGACGGCAGTGGCTGTTCATCAGAGTGACCGAGGAGGGCTGGGGAAGCACCTTGCAGGGGGTGGAATAGCATCTCCAAGGCCAATTTTAAAAGTGAGGTGCCACGGGGAGCCCAGCAGCCCTAGACCTTTCCAACTCTAGCTTCCCCTCCAAGGCATGGATATAAGTGATGTCCTCCTTGCGGGAGAGCTAAGTCAGGCTCACGAGGGTATAGAGATCCTGTGCAGGAGATGCAGAGGCCCTGGGCCGGCAGCGAGGGCCATTCCCTTGTTGCAGCCGGGCGGGTGCAGAGCTGGCTGCAGCTGTGGGCTCCTGAGCACGCACTGTCTGGCTCACGGAGCGAGCGTGTGTGTCCTCGGGGAGGAGGGTGGAATGATGACAGCTCAGCCTCACCTGCCTTCTGTGGAGTCAAGTCTATGGAAGTCTGGGTGTAGTAGCTGTCAGACTGCTCATTTTCACCGAGCTGACTCCTTGTGCCTGCTCTTTGCTTACTTGTTCTGAGGTAGAAATGTGAGGCGAATGAGGTTTTTGCCCTGGAGAAGCTGGCTGTCTAGAGGGTAGTACCCATGGTCAGCGGGCAGCCAGTGGCTAGTATCCTGCCTCCGGCTCATGTCCTGTTGGAATCGGAGCCTCCTACGGCACAAGACCCCCCTTCATGCTGTTCCACACAGACCCCTCTTCTGCTTGCTGCTTCCAACCTTTAAAGGCACTTGTGGCCATGACTTGAGGTCATCGGGTTCCTCACAGTTGTGAAAGAGCGCTGTTAAAGTTCTTCCTTACTTCGAGTGCAAACAGCTCTGCTTGAGCCTCCCACCTTAACCACACAATTCGAGTTCGGCCCTGTGGGGCCACACCAGACAGATCTGTTCCCACTCGCATAAGAGCCCCGCCAGGACCGCGGACACCTTCTGTGTGGGCCCTGTCCTGTCCATCGTAGGTTTTCACCTGGCCTCACATTAAGAGCTTTCAGCATCTTAATTGTTCTCGTCATGGTGCGTGTCAGTTTCTCAAAATGCCTGGAACTTTAATTCTCTAAGGATGTCCACTGAACAGACCTGTCAGAACAAGTAGGGCTTGGACCAGACCTTAGTGAGTGTGCAGTGGATGAAGGGAGAGTCAGGGGTCATCTCAGCCCCCAGGAAAGGTTGGGAGGAGGCTCAGAGGGCAAAACTGTGGCTGTGGGCAGACGGGGCACAGATGGAGACATCTGAGGAAGCACCCAGCTCCTGTGGTAAAAGAGGTCTGTGTAGGACTCTCTCATTTCTTCTCACTCCCTGAAGCCTACTCCACTCCATTAGGTCTGGTTCTGCTTATTTTGCAACAGATTGTGAATGAGTTAGTGGTGTACGAAGCACAACCCTGTGCTGACCCAGGGCGGTGTGGTGGGGGCCCATTTTCGTACTCAGTGTGGAGACACTTCTGGTTCCTTCCTTGCTGGGTCCTGGGACCTTGCAGGTGGAAGTGAGTGGCTATGTTGGGTTGGAGAGGAAGCACTATCAGCAGGCCCAACCAGTCTTGGATCATTAGATTTGATGAAGCAAGAGGGCCTTGGAGCCAGAGGTGACTGAGGTAGACTTTGCCTTTTGGCAGGTGGGTCCATGTCTCATGTGCTGTGGCAATTTTGGAAGCAAGGTTTGTCAACATTGCCGAAAGAAGTCCAGTGGACGTGAGCAAAATTCCCCTGCCCCGCTTCAAACTGGTAAGGAAGAGGAGATGGGTGTGGAGACACTACTTTGTTGCCCTATTAGAAGTTTCTGGGTGGAGGAGAACATAACGTGCTCCGTGTGGCCCAGTGGTCATCATTGACCCTTGGGTTGGGTCAGGGCTTGTGAGCCACCAAATGTTAGAAGAGGACATGCATCCTCAGACAAGAGGTTAAGAAAGGTGTGTGTATGCTCTTGTTTGGGGGAAGAAGGGTGGCTCTTGCTCATGGGGCTCTGTGTGTTCAGGACACGGCACCATTAGCTCCTGGAGTCAGCGGCTTGCTTCCCCTGTGTCCTAGAAATGTGTCTTCTGTAAGAAGCGGAGGAAAAGAACAGCTGGCTGCTGTGTGCAGTGCTCCCATGGCCGCTGTCCGACTGCCTTCCACGTGAGCTGCGCCCAGGCTGCTGGGGTGATGATGCAGCCGGACGATTGGCCTTTCGTCGTCTTCATTACCTGCTTTCGGCACAAGATTCCTAATTTGGAGGTGAGGGAAGGTACCGTTCTAGAATCCTCTTGACCGATCATCTTCTCTGCAGGCCGTCCATTTACTGTGTCAGCACGTATTTTCTCCAGCCTTCTGCTTTATGGAGGCTGCTAATAAGTAGGGATTCACAGGTGGCCCCCGTGCATCTCCGTTGCCTGCCTTGTACTTCCTAATCCAGCGGCACCAAATTGCTTGTGGTTGATTCTTTGTGATTATGTCTACTTGTTTGTCACTTCTTGAGGGACCCTGTTGTTATTAACATGAGTGTCCCTGTCACCTACCACCGTGTCCTGGGGCAGAGCAGAAGCTATGTAGGTGTTGCGAACTGATGGAGAGAGCTTCGAACAGTTAACCATCAGTACTGTACAGTAGGGATTTTTGTGCTTCTCTAAATAGTGAAGCTTGGAGAATATTACATGTCATCTTAATGAGACAAGTTATGAAGGGGTTTGGGTGGAAGGTGGCATTTGACCTGGGACTTTGGGCACCTGGGTGGCTCAGTTGGTTAAGCAACTTCAGCTCTGGTTGTGATATCACAGTTTGTGAGTTCGAGCCCCACATCAGGCTCTGTGCTGACAGACAGCTCAGGTTATGGAAGCTTCTTCCAGTTCTGTGTCTCCCTGTCTCTATGCCCCTCCCTTGTACACAAACATACTCGTGCGCTCGCTCTCTCGCTCTCTCTCTCTCTCTCTCAAAAATAAGTAAATATTGAAGTGGGACTTAAACAGTAAGTTGGAGTTGTGAGAGGGAAGGTGTTCATGGCTTCAGAAGCAGAATGAGGGGCACCTGAGTCGCTCAGTTGGTTACGTGTCCATCTCTTGATTTCAGCCCAAGTTCATGAGATTGAGCCCTGCATTGGGCTCCCATGCTGACAGCACAGAGCCTGCTTGGGATTCTCTCTTTCTCTGCCCCTCCCCCATTTGTGTGCGCGTGCGTGAGTGTATGAACACATGCGAGCGCACGCACGCACACACACTTTCTCTCAAAATAAATAAATAAACTTAGAAAAAAAGCCAAATGAACAAATCTCAGGAGAACAAACATGGAAGACATTCTAGGAATATGGCAAGGGTGATACTTAAAGACAAATAGCAGCTGTCAGTGAAGGCCCTGGACTGTCCTACTTAGGAATTTGATCCCTCTTTCACTCAATGAGGAGAACTTCTCAAAAATTTAGATTTGGAACCATATTTTTTTTATACACTTAACTCCAGTGGTGGATTCAGGGGCTCAGAGAATAAGAATTTGAGGCAGGAAGACTGGTAAGCCTGAGAGTGAAGTGAGGCCTGGAGTGGGAACACGTAGGCAGAGCTCTGAGGTCGCATCTAACATGGGATCCTACGATGGGTAGGTTCGCCAGGGTTGTTGACCACCTTGGAGAGGTTAATGGGGAAGGGGCGAGGGATGTGAAGTTACGATGGCTCAGGTGGCTCTCCTGAAACATGGAGAAGATGAAAATATGATGATGCTGTTAACTGTGACCAGAACGAATTTCCAGGGGAAACGGGGGTGAGCTGGAAGAGGAGAGGGCATTTTTGGCTTTGAGGTCATTGCTGGAACATTCTGCTGGAGCTGCTGGGAGGCAGCTGCTCTAACTATGAGAGCGAAGATTTGGATCTTATCAGCATTTAACAGGGTCATTGGACTCTGGAGATCCCTAACGTAAGGAACAGATGGTAGAGGATGAGCCTGTGAAAGTAGCTGAGAAGGGCCAACAGACACTGGTGGAGGGCATCACAAAGCTCACTCTGGGGCAGGCAGGTCATTGGTGTCACGTACTGAGGAGTTGCCATGGGCTCTTCTGTCAGAAGCCACACTGTAGTTGGGGAAGTTAGAGTCTACTGGAAGAGACCGTGGTGAAGATTTGTCAACAGTACAATAAATACAGTAATGAAGGGCACCATAGAGTGCAAGTCTGGAGGAGCAAACATGTCACTACCTTTTGGGATCATGGAAGAGGCCTTGTTGGCCGACTGGATTCTCGTTTTCCATAATGATGTTTCACTGGGCATGAGAGGTGGTCAGGTAGGTTTGGAGCTCAAGAAGTGGGAAGATAGTCATTGTGAGGAAGAGACTCTGGAGGGGCAGTGAGTGAGGTAGCGCTGAAGGCTCAGGGAAGCAGGAGTGTTGTTACGTAGGCAGGATGGTGATTTGGGGACTGTCATTAGCTCTGCATACCCTTCAGTTGGCACCTGTAGACTACTGATACTTTGAGAAAATGGGGGGCAGTATAGTATTTTTTTCACTAATCATTCTGTAGTTTTTTAATTTTAATTTTTTAAAGTTTATTTTGAGACAGAGAGAGCCAGCGAGTAGGGGAGGGACAGAGAGAGAGGAGACAGAATCCCAAGCAGGCTCCGCACTGTTAGCACAGAGCCTGACATGGGGTTCAAACTCATGAACTGTGAGATCATGACCTGAGCCAAAACCAACAGTCAGATGCTTAAACCAGCTGAGCCCCCCGGGCGTCCTCACTAATCATTCTTCAAATATCTATCGAGCATCTATTACATGTCAGTCCTAGTTTTAGGTGCTGGGGATATAAGTGAACAAGGCAAAACAGTGCCTGTCCTCTTGCTGCATGTAGTTGAAAAACACACAGAAATGTGTAAATGTACAGTATCTCAGACAGGGAGAAGCGTGATGGATAAATACTTCGCAGGATAAGGGGAAGGAAGAGGAATAGTAAGGAACAGTGTCAGTAGATTGACATTTGGTTGTGAGGGGGCCAGTGTGCAGAAGGCTGGGGAATAGCACTTCAGGGTGAGGGAACAGCAGGGCAGTGGCTCTGAGGAGGGAATGTGTTTGGCACACGTGCTCCAGGCACAGCACAGAGGCCAGCATGGCTGGAGCGCAGTGCTTGAGGACCCGGGGGAGGAGTGGTTGGATAACAGTGCTACCCCATGCTCTGTGATGCCATTTACATCAAGGGTAAATTCAGAATGACAGGGTGATGTGATGGGGAGCCCCCTGTCACATACATCTGAGAACGTCCAGGGAACCTGAGCCTTTGTGCTACAGCCCTGAGCATAGAGCCGGTGCTGAGATCTGCATAGAGCATCGTCTGCGGCCCTGGGCTCAGATCTGCTGAGTGTCTCCCTGGATGCCTGTCTAAGCTGCGTGCATTGGTAGGTGCTGTTGGGTCAGTTCCCGGCAACAATAGGGAAGTTACACAAGAGCATTCTGGGAGGCAGTGTGGTATGAGGACCAGGTGTGGAGCGGGAACTAGGGAGCGAGGATTATGGAGGACAGTTGGACACTGGTTTCTGGTAGTGGCCCTGCTGAGGTGTGGATGTCTGAGAACACCTGGTTCAGCTCCCATCCCCTGCTCCTTTCTATTTTTCCAGGCCAGTCCCGGTCCCCATTTTCCAGGCCTGTCAACTCCACGTGGGAGTAACCCAAGCCTCTGTTTTTTCCAGCGTGCCAAGGGGGCCTTGCAGAGCATCACTGCAGGACAGAAGGTCATTAGCAAGCACAAGAACGGGCGCTTCTACCAGTGTGAGGTGGTCAGGCTCACCACTGAGACCTTCTATGAAGTCAACTTTGATGATGGCTCCTTCAGCGACAATCTGTATCCTGAGGACATAGTGGTAATGTCTGCAAGGCACTTCCTGGGCGGTGGGTGGGGATGGAGGCGTTTGTAGGTCCGGCTGTGGGCCAGCCTGCCATTTCTAGCCAGGTCCACCGGCCCATTAATTAGTTCTCTGAACAGAAAGAATCATTTGTGCTGGTCTTCCCTTGCAAACAAAATTGTGTGCTGCTAGGCTACCCTGCTTCTCTAGAAGCTCATAGGAATCTGTGTTTTCTGCAACACCCTGAAACATGCTTATATTTCAGTCTAAACGACACCTTCACGTGTTCTTATGCAATGGAAGAGCCCAGGTATCAGAAACCAACCAGTGTGCCGATACTAGCTCCAGTGCCTAGTAGCTGTGTGATATTGGAAGAAATAATCTTTCTTTCCTGTCATGCTCTCTTAGTAGATGTGTGGTCCCTTACAGCTGAAGGCTTTGAGGCTGAGTAGAAACTGCTTGGAGACATTCCTGGCCTACTTATACTATTGATACCTGACACACTGGAGGCTCTTGCCTGGACCCACTTCTAGGTTTCCTGGCTTAGTATTCAGGACTTAGTTCGAGTTTCCCTTACCTGCACTGCCTTTTCATGTGTTAGATTAAGCCCCAGGGCGGTGGGATGAAGCCACTTCTTCCTTTGACAAACCAGGGATTTCCTACTTTGAAACCGCATTAGCAGCTTAGTTCCTAAAAGCACATTCATTAGTTACAAGGTAGACTTAAGTCCTAGTAAAGATCATATTAATAGTATTTGTGGCAGTAGAATAGCTATGATTTATTAGGCTAAGTACACAAGGGTCTGTGCTAAGTGCTTCAGGTCAGGTGTGTCTGTCTTCTCATACCAATTCCAGGAAGCAAGTGGTGTTATCTCTGACTTACAGATCAATGACCTCAGCACTCTATTTTCTGAAAGTTACTGAGGTCCCCAAAAAGCTTTTTTTTTTTTTTTTTGGTAGTAATTATAGTTTTATTTATTATTCTTACAGTGATTATATGCATTTGGGATAGGGAACTTCTTTTTTTTTTTTTTTTTTTACAAATAGTTCATTGTCAAGTTGGTTTCCATATAATACCCAGTGCTCATCCCCACAAGTGCCCTCCTCCGTGCCCATCTCCCCGCTCCCCCCGCACACCCATGAGTCCTCAGTTTGTTCTCAGCATTCAAGAGTCTCTCGTGGTTTGCCTCTCTCCCTTTCCCTCGCCATTTTCCCCCTTCTCCCCCGTGGTCCTCTGTTAAGTTCCTCCTAATCCTCCTATACGTGCAAACATATATTTGTCCTTCTCTGCCTGACTTATTTCGCTAAGCATAACACCCTCAGGGTCCATCCATGTTGCTACACATGGCCAGATTTCATTCTTTCTCATTGCCATGTAGTATTCCATTGTATATATAAACCACACCTTCTTGATCCATTCGTCCATTGATGGACAGTCTCTTTTTCCATGTTTTGGCTATTGTTGAGAGTGCTGCTATGAACATTGGGGTACATGTTCTCCTATGCATCAGCACTCCTGTATCCCTTGGGTAAATTCCTAGCAGTGCTATTGCTGGGTCATAGGGGAGTTATATTGTTAATTTTTTGAGGAACCTCCACACTGTTTGCCAGAGGGGCTGTACCAGTTTACATTCCCACCAACAGTGTAGGAGGTTGCCCATTTCCCCACATCCTCACCAGCATCTAGAGTCCTCTGATTTGCTCATTTTAGCCACTCTGACTGGCATGAGGTGGTATCTCAGTGTGGTTTTGATTTGTATTTCCCTGATAAGGAGGGATGCTGAGCATCGTTTCATGTGTCTGTTGGCCATCTGGATGTCCTCTTTGGAGAAGTGTCTGTTCATATCTTCTGCCCATTTCTTCACTGGGTTTGTGTTTCGGGTGTGGAGTTTGGTGAGTTCCTTATACATTTTGGATATTAACCCTTTATCTGATATGTCATTTGCAACTATCTTTTCCCATTCCGTCAGTTGCCTATTAGTTTTGTGGATTGTTTCCTTTGCCGTGCAGAAGCTTTTAATCTTGATGAGGTCCAATAGTTCATTTTTGCTCTTGATTCACGTGTTTCCCCAAAGAGCTTTTTTGTGGGTTGTGTCTATTAGTGTTTACTCATTAAAAGTTAAAATGGAGATTAATTATTTAAAATAGTTTGGGTTTTTTAAAATGAAAAAAAAAAAAACTATTTTAGAAACTATTTTAAAACAAAAAATACTGGTGGGAAGAATGCCATTTTCCTGCAAATCTCTCTACTGTCATGTGGTCATTCAGTCCGCTGTGATATATTGTTTTGGTTAAAGTATGTGAAGAAAATTCAGCGTCACACAGTTCTGTACTAATTGGAAAGGGGAGGAGTCTTAATAGCATTTCATACCATTCTGATTTTTCTTTGATACTACACCAAAACTCAACGAGTAGTATTTCTTAAAAGTTAGATGCAGGGTGGAATCTGAAAGTGGGTTAATGGACTTTGCGCACTCTGTTACATTAAAATCCACTGGTCTGTCTTGCACTGAGAATAGATCTTCACCTCTGCATAATTTTGGTCAGTTAGAAAATACCCATACATTGGGCTATGCAGATTTTCCACATGTTAAATTTTATTATACAGTATCAGAAAACACATTTATTAGTATCCCCATTCTTAGAAATATCTTTAAATTTGGCAAAGCTTCAAGCTGATCGTGATGATAACTACACTTCTGAAGTTCTAATTTTTCTAAAAGCTTAGGTTTTGTCATTGGCAGTACCGTCCGATATTTTCCTTGAAGTGACAGGCTTGTTCATTCATTTCCAAGAAGTCTGCCAGTACCCAAGTCTGAGTAACCATCGTTTGTCTGCCAGGCATTTTTTTTCAAATAAAGCTGGTGCTCCATGAACAAAGCAGCTCCCAATTAAGTTACACAGTGCTTTTCCTCAGGATAACCATCCTACCTCAGCAGGCGGCAAAGCGCCCTTTTGAGTATTCACATGTGTTCTCAAGGACTAAGGTTTGACAGAATTCATACATTTTTCTGCTTCGTCAACAGACCTTGTCATGTGAGGCCAGGCCTTTTTCTTTTTTCTTTTCCTAAATTATGAGTGCACGATGGTGCAGGATGTAATAACAACTAATAATGCTTGGAGCCGCTGCCCTGTGTTAAGATGTGAACCGTTTTGCCTGTTAACAGGTCTTATACCATTATTGCCAAGGTCAGCACAGTGAACGAGGCTAATAATGTATGTTCTAGTACTCTGAAATTATGTGCTAGTATTTCTTCAGGGCAGAGTTCTGTCCCCTGTTCTTTAGAGGGACAGTTGAAGGAGCATGAAGAGGATTCTTGATCTTGACCCTGTGTTTATGAAGTTCACTGGAAGTTTACTCTGGCTGCTCTTTTCTGTCCCCTCAGAGCAGCAGAGGCAGAGATCTGGGGCCAGCTTGTGACTTAGCGGGCAGGTCTTTAACCATTGTGTCTTCCAGCCCAGAGAGAGCCTGCCTTGCTTGGGTGTCTGAGTAGGAATCTGCCCTGGTTCATTCTTCCCTAAGTAGGTGACGGTCACCCCTGTGCTCAGAGGGGCCTTCCTCTCACCCTTCTCCCTTACTGTTCCCTCAGAGCCAGGACTGCCTCCAGTTGGGTCCTCCTGCTGAGGGAGAAGTGGTCCAAGTCAGATGGACAGATGGCCAAGTCTACGGAGCCAAATTTGTGGCATCCCACCCTATCCAGATGTACCAGGTAGCCAAACGTTTTTTGTTGGGGGCTGGGGAGCTCTTGATTGATTCAGTGCTGCTTCTTAGAGGCGAGCCTTTGCTCTTGGAAGAGCTCAGGGGTCAGTAAGAACCTTTTCAGAGCTAGGGGCTGCCCTGTGTTCAGTCTGCCGGGGGTGGTTTCAAATTTGGCAGTCCTTATCCTTCCTGTGTTCTGGATCCTTCCTGTGACAGCAGAAAGTAGCCACTGTGCATAGTGGACCAGGGAGTGAGTCAGGGATGTCTTAGCCAAAGGCCTCTGTTTGCTTGGTAGGTGGAGTTCGAGGACGGCTCACAGCTTGTGGTTAAGAGAGATGACGTGTACACGCTGGACGAAGAGCTTCCCAAGAGAGTCAAGTCTAGACTGGTGAGTGTGTTTTGTGTGCCCTCGGTTCCGGTCTGGGAGGGAGGGAACAAGGCAAGGGTGTGTCCTTCTGTTTTCCACTCCGAGTGGTTGGCCACAGAGTGCTCATTTGGTTTGTTTATTCTTCTGTAGTCAGTAGCCTCAGACATGCGCTTCAATGAGATTTTCACGGAGAAAGAGGTTAAGCAGGAAAAGAAACGGCAACGAGTGATCAACTCCAGATACCGGGAGGATTACATCGAGCCTGCACTATACCGAGCCATCATGGAGTAGGTGCTTCCCGGGGCCGAGAGGTGCCCAGCCATCAAGGCGAGAGCACTCTGGGGTTCCACAGCACAGCAGACACTTGGAACTCTGAAGTCACGAAAGTGAAGTTGTAAAATGAAAAGGAATGGAATAACTGACCCCATCGTCTTCTCACGCCCCTACCCCCATCGCATTCCGCTGTAGTGAAAGGACAAGCCTTTCTTGGACATGTGGCAGCAGCCTCCTATCTCCCAGCTGAAGGGCTGAGCACTGAAATGCTGTGGCTGCACTGGCCCCAGTCTCCAGTGGGGTCGCCTGTGCTGGCCGGGCTGGTTGCCCTATTCCTGGCCTGGGACTTAGCTTCCTAACAACCACCTGCACCAACTAGGCAGAGGTGCTGGTGCTTACTCCCTCCCCCTTTTGTATTTATGTGTGCGCGCGTGTGTGTGTGTGTGTGCGTGTGTGTTTGGTTTGGACCAGCTTCTGCCAGCCCCTGGCCTTTACTTGCCTCCTTGCCTGTCCAGGGCAAACAAAATGTGAAATTCTGCCCTCAGCTTAGCAGAGTAAAGGCTCCTGGGGTTTGGCTGGAGACGAGTGTGGCATCTATCTGTCCCTGGAACTGCCTCAAGGGAGTGCTGGCAAAGCTGCAGTATTGAGATGTTAAGGAATTAATGCCACCTCTTTGTACTGTCTTGAAGGAGAAGATAGAGGCAGTATATGGGTGTGTGCCCATATCATTCTAGGCACAGAGCCCCTGTGGCACAGTATTAGACGCTGTGGGTGGGGAACACCCTGAAGGGGGATCTTAATGATGGAAGCAGGCAGAGCCTGGTGGGTGATTTTGTCAACAGAAAATTTGCAATCATGCAGGGGCTGGGAGGGTTAAGATGAACTGGGGCCACTGGAGACCAGGGGCAGATTTAGATATGTCCCTGGTCTGGGGGTGGGAGGGAGCTGATTTGGGGGTGGGGGTGGGACTGGAGGGCAACACTGAAGGGGTTAAACAGGTTTTTGCTCCTCATGAATTTGTTTGCCTGGGCCCGGGATTGGAGGGCTTCACACCTATACCCTGTGTATACAAGAATCAGATTTATAATACTTCCCTGTTTTTTGTTACGTATGAACGCTATAAACCAAATTATTTTGAAAACTGGTGCATCACCTTGTCCTTAGCAATAAAATGTGTTGAGCAGAGGATTGGCTGTGTCTGCCCCAAGGAGCCGGAGTGGCCCAGGGTCAGGCTGGGGTTGTATCTGGTCATAGGCTCTGGAGCAGGGCTGCGTATTTTTAAGAAAACCTCGGGCAGGATCTAGGAAGCTTCTGAAAGGGATGGGTTCCTTGTCAAGTCCTGGTCCTGTTGTCCCGTGTTAGGGCAAGCAAGGTGGGACATGGGGGGCAGAGGCACCTGTGGCTTTGAGCACCTTGTTTTGCTTCCTTTGCCTGAGGGATGGGAAGATGGGCATAGAGGACCAGACCACTTCCACAGTCAAACTGGGTTTGATTCCTCACTTTTGCAGCACTTGATTATTATCTTCACGGACTAGTCTAAGTACATGTCAGCATTGGTGTTCCATACAAATTGTGGAACAAGCTTGAAAGGAAGTATATTTTAGGTGCTTTAAGAGCAAGAGACTTGTCTCCTAATGGGATCCATTGGGGTCTTGAAGCTGCTCTGAGCTGCCTGTAGTTGGTGAGAAGCTTCCCTGGGAAAAGATCAGTCCTTTTGCCTGGTGGCTTTCTGGGGTCCAGGTGTCTGAGGATGGAGTAGCACAGGGCAGCGAGGTGCCAGTGACTAGGTGCAGGATGTGGGCACAGCAGAGCTGCTCCAGCTCGCCCTTGGAGCGCCTGGCCCTGTCCAGGTGCTGGAGAGGCTTGGGTCAGCTCAGCAGCTCTCAATGCTGCTTTGTGTCCTGGGGCTTAGGAGGTGGATGCTACCTCGTGTCTGGTTGTGGGGGAGGTGGGGGGCAGGAGGTTTCAAAGACACTTTTCTGTGCCAACTCCTTTCTGGGTCCAAGAAAAGGAAGTTGACTTTTTTTTTTTTGTTCAGCATCCAAGACTTCATTTGAGAGACTAGGCAGAGCCAGGCCTTAATGAATTGTTGAGCTCTTGGAGCACACATCTTTGAATTGAAGGAACACTTCCCTAGACTTGGCTCAGGGTTCCAGGCCTTGCTACCTCTCACTGACCCCACCATTGCCATCCCTAATGAATGACCTGCAGGGCCCAGGTGCCTGGTCTCACCCCAGCAGAATTCTTAGCAGCTGTTTCTCTAGAAATTTTGCACTTTGAATTATAGTCAAAGTAATAACTCTGGGGAAAGGGAAGTTTAAAGAAGTGATGAGACTTGCTCAAATCCCACAGAACAGGCCGTTGCATTTTTCAGACTTTGTTTTATTTAAGTGATCTTGACACCCCATGGGTGGTGGCTCGAACTCATGACCCCGAGATCAAGAGCGGCATACCCTTCTGAAGAGTCAGCCTGGCGCCTCCAGGCTGGCCCTTGGGTTTCTTCCTCACTGCCTGCCAGTGCAGTCAGGCCCAGGCCTTAGCGGACACACTTCCGGGGAGCGTTCTAGGCAGGTTCTAACCAGAAGCCTTTTTGTCAGGGCAAACTGCCCTCCTTTCCTAAGGTAGGATCTCTGGGTTGGCAAGCAAGGGTCGCAGCCCGACAATATTTTCTCCCTTGCGTCAATCCCACTGGACGCCCTACGGTTCACACTGTGCCCCAGGTGGGTGCCCGTGCTCTGCCTTAGAAATGGTGGACGAGAGCTGGGAGCTGCACAGGGTAGACCAGGTCCGGGACCAGGACTAAAACCCTTTCTGCCAGACTCTGAAATGGGCAATACCGAATAGCGGCCAGGGAATGCTGCCCCCCAACCCCCCCCCCCCTTTACCCCATAGGATCCGGCAGGGCCGCCCGGCCCCGTAGAGGTCTCCAAGCCTTGGGCGTCCGAGAGCTCACGGGCGGCGCTCGCTGGGCTCCGGGCGGCAGCTGCTGCCCTCGGCATGGAATGACGGTGACCTCCCTGTACTCTAGGCCCGGGAGGCCCCCGGCCAACCACGTCAGCGAGAAAACAGGCTCCCGAGGGGCTGGGTCGTCTCCGCTGGCGTCAAGGGTCCGCACGAACGGGCGCCCTCCCGTGCGTGATGCTGGGGGTGGAGTAGGATGCTTCAAGGCGGCAGGCGTGCCCCGGGGAGCCGAGGCGAAGTGTTAGCGCCGACCAGCAGGCCGGGCCCGCTCGGCCCGCCGCGGCTCTTCGCCGCCCGCAACCCGGGTCCCCGCGGCGGGCGGGGTGGGCGGGTCGGGAAAGTGGGGGTGCCCGTGCCTATTGGGCCTCCGCGAGCTTGCGCTCGCCCGCTGCCCGCAGCGCAGCTCTGCATTGGTCAGCCCGGCGCCCCGCCCGGCTCCCGCGGCCCGATTGGCCGTGGATGCCCGACCCCCGGCGAGGGCGCTGAGGCGGAGAGCGGGATTGGTGGTCCCGCCGTCCCCGGGTCGCGGCCGCGCGCTCCGCCCGCCGCTGCGTCCCCACTATGGCGGCGCCCAGGCAGCCCACCGCGTCGTGGGCGCCCGCCGGGGTCCCCCGCGGCTGCCGCCGCCGCCTGCGCCCTCGCCTCCGCCTTCCCGCCCGCGTCGGGCCGGGCGCCGCCTCCCCCCTGCCTCCCTCTCCGCTGCGGTAAGAGCCCGTCGTGCGCGCGTCGCGGCGCGATAGCCACCGCGGCTAACGGTGTCCGCGCCACCCCTCCCCACCCCTCCCCTCCCCCGCCGCCCGGGGTCCCGGCGGGGCGCGCGGAGCCCGCCCGCCCGCGCTGGGGAAGAAGGGACGGTCGGGACACACGGCCTAGCTGTCCCCGCGTACCGAAGTGCGGCTCGGACTGGGGACTCCGGCCAGGAGCCCGGCCCCTGGGCGAGCTCGGCCGGGAAGGGGCTGCCAGGCCTCGGGGGGAGGACGGCTGGCCCCGGGCCGAGCGGTGTGAGGTCACCTGCGTGCGGGACCCCGCCGCGCTGCGCACCTTGGCGCAGAGGAAGGACGGGCAGGCGGGCCTCGGCTGTGGGAAGGGGAAGGAAGTGCAGGGACAGCCTGAGCGGGAATCTGCGGCGTCCTGATAGCGGCTGTCATTGCTTTCTGCTCTCCTGGCAGCCAGACGTCCTGAAGACCAAGTCACTTTGATGGCAGAGTACGCCTCTCCTGCTTCCTTTCCCTCTCGCACTTTTCTTTTCCCCATTGTTAACTCGCCGGTCTTGCTTGCAAGGGGAAATATCTTAGTGATGACAGCAGGCTTGGTTAGGATGGTGTCCTGCGAATATTTTGGATTCCTTTATACGATTGCTTGTTTTTAGGATTCTTCAATAAACTTGATTTCTGTTTGTGTTTCCCTCACATGCTAGGAGGAGTGAAACGTAAACTGTAAAGCATAGTAGTTAATTGAGAGAGAGAGAGGGAGCGCGAGCAATGAAGGCAGCTGTTATTTTGTAAAATCTAGGAACTTTTTATTGTGGATATAGTCTGCGTTGTCTCTACTATTGCTAGTTGAATGTGAAGGTACAACGAAAACACTTATTAGGTTCCCAAAAGCAATCGTCGGCATGGGAAATTAGGTTATTTCTAAGTCAGAATCACCTTGGAGTGATGATCATTGAACAGTTTGGTATGCCTTCAAGTCAAACGGATTAAAAGGAAGCTGGCAGAAAAGTTCATGATCAAATGGTGTTTTCAGATCATGTCTTAAGGCAATAGCAGCTCCTTAAGATTAAGTATTTTTAACTCAAGGACGTTTTGAAGTATTAGGTGCTGAGGCTGCCTATTTTGCATGTCTAAATATCTAATCATGACTTAATAAAAGTAAGCTATTAAGAGGAAATAAGATGTACATATTCTTAGAGTAATTGGCTTTGGGTTATCAATAGAGTGTCTAATGAATACATATTGTGTACAAGGTCACAGGACTGTGGGAAACTCAAGACCTTTAATGGAAGAAAGAGACTTGGTCTGACCAGACCCATGAGCTATTTGTGGGAATAAAGGACACACAGGAAAATGATAACTAATGATATTGCCTCTAGAATTCCTAGCAGTAGGTCTGGGAAACTGGGAAAAGGAGAAACCCATGTGTTTGAGGAAGGTTTTACAGGGAAGGTGGAGCTTGACTTGAGCCATGAATGGGTAAACCTTGGGAGGGGGAGGGCGGGGATGAAGAGGAAGAAGTGAGGATGGTCATGGGGGCAGGGGAGAACCCAAAGTGCTCAGGGGTGGTTTCAGGGGGTTCTTATTGGGAAAAATAGGAGATAGGTTTGTACGAAAAAGGTAGGTGGTTAGCATCAGATTGAGAAGTAACTTTGTCCCAGGAGAGCAAAGGATTGAACTGGTAGTAGCATTTACTTCGGGTGAAGCTAGAGCTAGCGTTTTGAAAAATACACGGTGGCACTTTATTTGTTCTTGTCACTTTTCTGATTAATCTACTCTTCGTAGCTACCCAGGATCTGCACATTGAGATGCCTTCTTGCCTTTATTCCCTTCTCCCCTCGTGCTCACTTGGTTGTCAGGTCTTGCTGATATGCCGCCACGCTCTTTTTGGCATCTGCTGCTTTCCATTTCTACTGTCATCATGCTTATTTAGGGTCATTGATACCGTTCTCTTGAGTTATTGCAGAAACCACCCAACGTTTTTTTTTTTTTTCTTTCCTCCCATCTACGCTGCATACTATCATCACCTCTAGATATCTCACTTCCCCACTCAAGATTTTGAATGGTTCCCTCCTGTCTGTTGAACTAAGCACAGACCAGGCTGGCGGAGACACCATGGATAAACTAATTTCTTGCCATTCCCTTAGATTTTATGATGTTTTCCAGGTCAGTAGAAGTATTTGCTGTTTGTGCTTCGCTGTTCTCCACATCTTTGCTTATGTCGCCTTTTCTATCTTAAATGACCCCCTTGAATCTCTAATTGTTGGTTCTTACCTGTGTTTCAGGGCCATGTGATATGTAACTTCCTTTGTGAAACTTCTCTGTACTTTTCTTCTCATCTACATGGGACTTGTCTCTCTAAACCATTATAACACTGGCATCTGCCTTTTTGGCGCAGTTATCAACATAAGACTGGAACTTCTTCCAGACACAGACCATCTTCATCATCTAGCACAGTGTTTTGTACATAGTAGGTACTTGACAGGTGTATTTTATATTGCACGTAGCCTTGAACCGAGATGGATGCCAAGAAAGTTACTTCACATTATGTGAGAGAATTCCTTACTCAGAGATCTGATGATCTGATGTGTTTATCTGGATAGCTTGGATTAGACTGCATTAAGAAAAACCCATTCAGATTTAAGTGGCTTAACAGAACAGAAGTTGATTTTTCATTCATTCCACGTGTGCAGCAAGAGCCCGCAGGGAATTCCCCTCACCGTCACTCAGGGACTCAGGCTGATGGAAACTCCATCTGAACATAGTGTTTCCATGATCATTTTGATTGAGCGAAAGATGGTGATCAAGGGGCACTGATTTTTGTTTTTAAGTTTGTTTGTTTATTTATTTAGAGAATCCCAAGCAGGTTCTGTGCTGTCGGCACAGAGCCTGAAACAGGGCTCGATCTCACGAACCATGAGAACATGACCTGAGCCAAAACCAAGTTAGATGCTTTACTGACTGAGCCACCCAGGCGCTCCAAGGGGCACTGATTTCTATTTTTATTTTTTAAAGTGTACTTATTTATTTTGAGAGAAAGAGAGTGCAAGCCCAGGAGGGGCAGAGAGAGAGAGGGAGGGAGAATCCCAAGCAGGCTCTGTGCTGTCAGTGCAGAGCCTGACGCAGGGCTCAAACCCATGAACTGTGAGATCATGAGCTCAGCTAAAATCAAGAGTTGGATGCTTAGCTGACTGAACCACCCAGGTGCCCCAAGGGACACTGATTTTTGAAATATCAGTCCCAACGTGGCATGTGTCACTTTCGTTGACATTTCATGGTCTAAGGCAAGTCACATGGCCACACCTAACTTTAAAGAAGAGCAGGGAGGGAATTGCAGTTAGCATGTGTCTGGAAAGCAAAGAGCTGGACATAATCGGCTGGCATGGAGGACTGCTCCATCACTTAGGAGTATCACAGCCCATAGAAGATTGGAGGTGGCAAAATCAGCTGGCCTGGTAGAGATGAGCACATTGACAGCAGCAAGAAATGGTTGCTCTAACTAGGCGTGAGATGAAGGTGAATGGGGAAGTTGAACTCTATAACAGGCACTGTACCTGCCCACGGGCCAGGGCTGCTGGTACAAGGGCAATCTGGTATACCTTGGCCACAGTGCAGTCATGCCTAAGGGCATCACATTTTTACGTCGCCCTCAGTAATGAACACAAGAGTGGTCCAAAACATAGTTAACTTATATTCACAGTATTTAGCCAGGAGGAGTGAGATAACTCGAGGTACATTATTACTTGCTAAACTAAGAAGGAATCTTAAACCCATTGGTTTAACAAGTACAAGTACATTATTACTTGCTAAACTGAGAAGGAATTAAACCCATTGGTTTAATTGGGTTTACTTGAGGCCATCAAACTTTGGTATTTGGCAAGGAGATTTCACTTTTGATAAAAAAAAGATTAGCACAGAGTGGTTGGAGCTGTGGTTCCAGCGACAAGATCTGGGTTGAAATTTTGTCTCTGCCATTAATTGTCGGACATAGAGCAAGTGTCTGATTTTTGAGCCTGAGATTCCTCATCAGTATAATGCGCAGGGTGTTCTCAGTGCATAGGGGGAATAAAAAGAGTTTGTTTTTGTCCAGTGCTTTGCGCAGTACCTGGTTCAGAAAAAGCCCACCCGTTCATGGACATCACCAGCAACAGTAGCAGGATCTGAAAAACCTTTGAGAAAATCCAGGAATATCAGTAGAGGTGTTCTCCCAGGTTTTCCTACCTTTTCCCTTTCCTTGGATAGCATTCCTGCCACACCTTTCTTATTTTCACCTGTGTCATATTTTATTTGACTAAGTTGTGTGCCTGTCTGTGTCCCCCATCCCACTTCACACCCTACTTGTCTCCAAGGTATTTACTGAACATGTGCTATGTGCAAGGCTCTGTGCTAGGTCATGGCATTGTAAGGAAGGAAGGCAGTTCCTGGCCTGAAGTCTTGAAGAATTACTTGGTATAAGTGGGGTGGATGTGGGTTTGAAAGGCTTTCAGGCAGGAAATGTGCGTAATGCCCTAGAAACACGAGAGAGTGTGGCTACATGCTGGGGACACTTGAGTGGCAGGAGGAAAGGGTATGTTTGGGGAGTGTGTGGAGGCTGCAGAAGGCAGCTTGTGAAGGCAGTGTGAGTTCAGGAGTCAAAGCTTTTATGGTACACATGATTAGGAGCCACCGAGGGATTCCAAGGTAGGAAATCAGCTCTGCCTTTTAGGAAGGTCACTGTGTGTGGAGGGCACGGAGGAGTGATTACTTTGTTTCCCTGACATGGGAAGTTATGTGTGCAGCCACGGTACTGTGCCTGCTACACAAGGGTCGTAAAATCTTTATGTGTGGGGAGAGAGGAGGAGGCGAGTGGGGGAGGGGACCAGCTTTGATGCAGGGGCTGTGTCCGTGCCCTTCCTGCGCGGGGAGAGCACCCTGGACAGGGGCCAGCAGACCAGGGTTTCAGTCATGGCTTCCGCAGTTTCTACAGTGGGACCCTGGGCCAGTTTCAGAAC